CTCTTCACCTTTTTCTCCTTTTTTTGCCCCATTTTGGCCGCCCCTCCCCCCTTCCCTCCGCATCCCAAAAATCCCAAAAATCCCAAAAATCCCAAAAATCCCCAAACGGCCCCAAAAGCGCGGCGGGGTCACCGCGGGGTCACGAGCGGCGCCCTCGCCGTGACCCCGCCGAGAGCGGCGCCGGGGCAGCGCTTTGCACTTTTTTACACTTTTTTTACACTTTTTTACACTTTTTTGCACTTTTTTACACTTTTTTGCAATTTTTTACACTTTTTGGCACTTTTTTGCACTTTTCCCCACATTTTTTGCACTTTTTTGCACATTTTTTTCACCTTTTTTACACCTTTTTTCACTTTTTTTCAATTTTTTTCACCCTTTTTTCACTTTTTTCCCCACCTTTTTTCCATCTTTTTTTCTCACTTATTTGTTTTTTATTTTTAACTTTTTTCCTTTTTCTCCCCAGCCTTTTTTCACCTTATTTTCACTTTTTTTTCCACCTTTTTGTACCCTCTTTTCACCCTCTTTTCACCTTCTTTTCACCTTTTTTACACATTTTTCCTTTATTTTACCTTTTGTCTTTTTTCACTGTTTTTTCACCTTCTTTTGCCCTTTTATCACCCTTTTTTAAACCATTTTTCAATTTTCACCTTTATTTCAGCCACTTTTCACCCTTTTTCCACCTTCTTTTCACTTTTTTTTTACTCTTTTCACCTTTTTTCCATATTTTTTACTCTTTTTTCTAACCTTTTTTTTTCTTTTTTTTCCCCACCCTTTTTTCACCTTTTTTTCACCCTTTCCACCCATTTTTTCCCCCTCTGGGCGGATTTAAAACCATAAAAATTCCAATTTAAAGCTCAGCTTAAACTTGATTTTTCCAGCCCCGATTATTGTTGGGAATTATTAATGTCATGATAAATTTAATTAATTTTTTCCATTTTTCGGGTGGGTTTGGGGGGATTTGGGGCCTCACAAAAACCGCACCAGAGACGGAAATAAAACAAATCCACAGCGAGCGTTTTTATTGAGCACTGGCACCGTCACAGAACTCACCAAAATTCCCTTTTTATTGCAATTTTACCCCGAGCACGAGGGGGGAATTCAAGAATTCCATTTTTCCGCCCGAAAAACACAAAAAAAACCACCACAAACCCCCCTCGGAGCGGCTTTTTGGGGCAAATAAATCGAATTTTCTCCTTTTTTTTGCTCCCTCGGAGCTGTTTTTTGTTAATTTCTCCCCCTTCCCCGCCCCAAAATCGCGATTTTTCAGCTTTTTTTCTCCCCCTCGCCAAAATCTGTGCGTTTGGGAGGGGAAAAAATCGCAATATTTTGATTTATTTTGACTTTTTTTTTGGTGTTTTTCACCCTCCAAACCCCCCCCAAGATTTCCCCTTAACCACCCCCAAGGTTTCCCGCACCCCAAAATAAATAGAAAATAAATTTTAAATAAATTAAAAATAATTTTAAAATAAATAAAACCCTGAAAAGGGGGTGAAAAACCCGTTTTTGGAAAGTTTCTCCCGGTGCCTCCACCTGGGCTCATGCGACCTCCGACATGCAGCTAAAAATGGAGGGGGGTTAATTAAATAATAATTTAAATAATTAAATATTAATAATCATAATAATTGGGGGGATTTAAAGAGGGGTCGAGTTTTGGCACGCACAGAGGATTAATAAAATAATAATTAAAATAATTAAATATTGATAATAGTTGGGAGAATTTAAAGCAGGGTCAATCTTTGACACGCACAGGGGATTAATAAAATAATAATTTAAATAATTGATAATAATAATTGGGAGAATTTAAAGAGGGGTCGAGTTTTGACAAGCACAGAGGGCAATAAAATAATAATAATAATACCACTAATAATAAATAATTTAAAAATTATGGGGAGAATTCTAAAAAGGGGTTGAGTGTTGACACGTAGGGGTAATAATAATAATAATAATAATAATAATAATACTTTAAAATACTAATTTAACTAAATTAATGATAGGAAAATCCCCAAAAAAAGCTGATTTTTGACACCTGCAAGGGGCTTAATAAAAGAATAATATAATTATTAATAATAACAAGAAAATACCATCAACAAAGGGAGAATTCCTCGCACCCCGCTGCCAAAACCCCCCAAAAATAACACGAAAAACCCCAAATATAGAGATTTATATATTAGAATCTATCCACAGCCAGAGTCCCCGCACGGCGCGGATTTTTGGGGCGGGAAATTCGGATTTTTCCTCAAAACCTGGGCGGGAAATTGGGAATTTTCCTGTGGAAAATCGGAGTTTCTGTTATAATCTGGGTGGGAAATTGGAATTTCTGTGATAAACCGGGTGGAAAATCGGAATTTCCGTTCTAATCTGGGCGGGGGAATCCGAATTTTTCCCCAAAAAATCCGAAATTCCTGTGGGGAAAACCAGAATTCCCGTCACAACCTGGGCGGAAAAATCCGAATTTTTGGAATTCCCCGTCCCAATCCATGCGGAAACTCCAACTCCCGTTACAACCTGGGTGGAAAAATCCGAATTTCCCGATTTTTTCGCGATAATCCAGGCAGAAAAACCCGATTTTCCCGCCTGTTTCCCCCCATCCCGCACAGAAAAATACGAATTTTCCGCCTGTTTCCTCATAAACCAGGCAGGAAAATCTGAATTTCCGCTACAACCCGGACGGAAAAATGCGAATTTTCCGACTTTTCCACTATAACCAAGGCAGAAAAATCGGAATTTTCCGAATTTCCGCTATAACCCCGGCAGAAAACTCGGAATTTTCGGACTTTCCCGCTATAACCCGCACAGAAAACGTGAAATTTTCGGACTTTTTCACTCCGAGCCAGGCAAAAAAATCTGAATTTTCCCAATTTCCGCTATAACCGCGCAGAAAACTCGGGATTTCCCGACTTTTCCGCTAAAACCGAGGCAGAAAACTGGGAATTTCCTGCCCGTTCCCTCCCATCCCGCACAGAAAAATCGGAATTTTCCGCTACAACGGAGGCAGAAAAATGGGAAAATTCCGAATTCCCGCTCTAACCCAGGCAGAAAACTTCGAATTTCCTGGAATTTTCCGCTCTAACCCCGGGCAGAAAACTGTGAAAATTCTGAATTTCCGCTCTAACCCCGGGCAGAAAACAGTGAAAATTCTGAATTTCCGCTCTAACCCCGCGCAGGAAACGGTGAAAATTCTGAATTTCCACTCTAACCCCGGGCAGAAAACTGAAAATTCTGAATTTCCGCTCTAACCCGCGCAGAAAACTCCGAATTTCCCGGCACTTTCCGCTCTAACCCCGGGCAGAAAACGGTGAAAATTCTGAATTTCCGCTCTAACCCCGGGCAGAAAACGGTGAAAATTCTGAATTTCCGCTCTAACCCTGGGCAGAAAACTGTGAAAATTCTGAATTTCCGATCTAATCCAGGCAGAAAACTCCGAATTCCCGGCACTTTCCGCTCTAACCCCGGGCAGAAACCGGTGAGAATTCCCACTTTCCGCCGTGACCTCGCCGAAACCGCTGGGAATTCCCGATTTCCGCTCTAACCCCGGCAGAAACCGGTGAGAATTCCCGGCACTTTCCGCTCTAACCCCGGGCAGAAAACTCCGAATTTCCCGGCACTTTCCGCTCTGACCCCGGGCAGAAACCGGTGAGAATTCCCGATTTCCTCCGTGACCTCGCAGAAACCGGTGAGAATTCCCGGCACTTTCCGCTCTAACCCCGGGCAGAAAACGGTGAAAATTCTGAATTTCCGCTCTAACCCCGCGCAGAAAACTCCGAATTTCCCGGCACTTTCCGCTCTAACCCCGGCAGAAACCGCTGGGAATTCCCACTTTCCGCCGTAACCCCGGCAGAAACCGGTGAGAATTCCCGATTTCCGCTGTAACCCCGGCAGAAACCGGTGAGAATTCCCACTTTCCGCTCTAACCCCGGGCAGAAACCGCTGGGAATTCCCACTTTCCGCTCTAACCCCGGGCAGAAACCGCTGGGAATTCCCACTTTCCGCCGTGGCCCCGGGCAGAAACCGGTGAGAATTCCCACTTTCCGCTCTAACCCCGGGCAGAAACCGGTGAGAATTCCCGGCACTTTCCGCTCTAACCCCGGGCAGAAACCGGTGAGAATTCCCGGCACTTTCCGCTCTAACCCCGCAGAAACCGCTGGGAATTCCCACTTTCCGCTCTAACCCCGGCAGAAACCGGTGAGAATTCCCACTTTCCGCTCTAACCCCGGCAGAAACCGCTGGGAATTCCCACTTTCCGCTCTAACCCCGCAGAAACCGCTGGGAATTCCCACTTTCCGCTCTAACCCCGGCAGAAACCGGTGAGAATTCCCACTTTCCGCTCTAACCCCGCAGAAACCGCTGGGAATTCCCACTTTCCGCTCTAACCCCGCCGAAACCGCTGGGAATTCCCACTTTCCGCTCTAACCCCGCCGAAACCGCTGGGAATTCCCACTTTCCTCCGTAACCCCGGGCAGAAACCGGTGAGAATTCCCACTTTTCTCCGTGACCCCGCAGAAACCGGTGAGAATTCCCACTTTCCGCTCTAACCCCGGCAGAAACCGGTGAGAATTCCCGATTTCCGCCGTAACCCCGGGCAGAAACCGCTGGGAATTCCCACTTTCCGCTCTAACCCCGGCAGAAACCGGTGAGAATTCCCACTTTCCGCTCTAACCCCGGCAGAAACCGGTGAGAATTCCCGATTTCCGCTGTAACCCCGGCAGAAACCGGTGAGAATTCCCACTTTCCGCTCTAACCCCGGGCAGAAACCGCTGGGAATTCCCACTTTCCGCTCTAACCCCGGGCAGAAACCGCTGGGAATTCCCACTTTCCGCTCTAACCCCGGCAGAAACCGGTGAGAATTCCCACTTTCCTCCGTAACCCCGGGCAGAAACCGCTGGGAATTCCCGCTTTCCGCTCTAACCCCGGCAGAAACCGGTGAGAATTCCCACTTTCCGCCCTAACCCCCGCCGAAACCCGGGCTCCGGTCCCGGCGCTCTGCCGAGCCGCCCCGTCCGTCACAGGCGCGTCAGGTGCTCGGGCCGCGGCGGCTCCGCGGGCGGCGGCGGCTCCGCGGGCGCGGCGCTTCCGCGGCTCTTGGTGTTGGGCAGCCGGTGATCCTTCTTCCACTTCATGCGGCGGTTCTGGAACCAGATCTTGATCTGCCGCTCGCTCAGGCCCAGCGAGTGCGCGATCTCGATGCGGCGCCGCCGGGTCAGGTAGCGGTTGTAGTGGAACTCCTTCTCCAGCTCCAGCACCTGCTGCCGCGTGTACGCCGTGCGGGAGCGCTTCGGCTC